GGCCATAGCTGCGCGGGGCCGCCTCGGCCCTAGCCGGTGGGGAACAGCCGCCTTGGGCGTGTTTCCCTGTCGCTGGTGCAGCCCTGGGGCTTATGTCGGTGAGAATGGGAGCTCCCTGCCTGGTCTCTTGTGTTGTCCTTTCTATCCTGCTTTTATTATTCTCCTTCCGAACGTGAACCCCGGGTTCCTGTCTTTGTTGTTTTTCCCCCTCTCAGTTTTCCTTGTGTCTTTCCCTTCTCATCTCTGAATTTCTTCCAGCTGTTGGTAGCTTTACATTTGTCAACATGAAACGTTTCCCGTGAAGCTCGTCGGTTCGCTTGGCTGGCAGAGAGTCCGCAATGCATTCTTTTCCCCGCGCGTATTTCTTACCTAATTATGCGGTTCTAAAATGAGAAGAATTTGTAGATCTAAAAGGAGACTGCAGGAGGAATAACATGTTGAAACTAGAATTTATTAATATTAATGACATGCAAAAAAAGCCTTCGGTTTTCAGTTATGGTGTACAAATAGAAACCTAGTTTTACCATACAGAATTATGGAAAACTAAGCTACAAGGAAAAACGCCTAAACGTGACGCTTTGATGTATATACTTTATAAGGTAATTTAACAGCACAGTGTTGGGGGCAACAGGTCCGTTTGGCTTGTGCTACAGGGGCCCGTAGTGTTTCCTCATAGTATGTACATTTTGAAACTCTGAAACGAATAGTGGAAATTTCGAAAGGTCGACAATAATAGTCATCATAATAATTTGAACATTTTTTGGCTATTTACTCAGATGTTTACTTCATATAATGTTTTCATGCTGATGGATTGTATTATTGTGGGGGGACACAAGGAGATAGGACCCCAAGACCCCTTTTGAATTTCCAAATGTTATCTCATTTTTTTCCTCCTTTCTTCCCCCCCCCCCAATTTCAGGACTTCTTAGCTTTGCTCCTGAGCCTTTTTGCCAATCTGTTCAGTTGACAGGTTTTGGTCTGAGGAAAAAAAAAGTACATTACATCTCACTACTGCTTAGTTTCTTTGTTAGACTTTTGTGGGGGACTTCACTGGAGGCATTTCAAAAATTTTAATAAATTATGTGAGCTAATTCTCTTCCACGTTATGGAGAAAGTTCAAGACTCTTAAGGAGATAATGATTTTCTTGATGAAGCAAAAACTGCTCGTTAGACCTTATCAGATCTTGGCAACCCAGATTTTCTAGTGTTCTGTTTTTAATTATTGATGCAACAAATTTGCTAGTTGCTACCTGTCACTTCTCTAGAAATCTTACAGTGTTCAGTGAGATGTTCTGGGTTTTTTTTTCCTTAGCCACTCTGCTATGGCGTACTTGAACTTTGGAGGACCAGTTGAGTATTTCACTCCTCCAAAATTATTTGGGTTTTCAGCATTCTCTGATGCTGTGTTTTTGTTCTGAAACGTTGAGTCAGGAATTTGTGCATCATTAAGAAGGCACAGGTGTTTATTATTTAGATCTTTATCTTTTTTTTAATGTGTCTTTTTAATCTCTAAGTATTCGGTGGGCTTTAGGGATCCATTGAAGTATTTTTGAATGCTTCCTGCATCTTGTACATCTAGGAAATTCCTGTTGGTTGTTTTACCTTAAAAAAAAAAACAACAACAACAAAAAAAACACAAAAAAAACCACATTCCCTTTGAGTGCCATTTGGCTCTTCTCGTTTTCCTCTCTTAATTGCTGCTGTTGTTCATGTATCTCTTTAGAGATTTAGCTAGAATTAAATTTCCAAATCTGTATATGTGTCTATTTGACCCAACAGTTTCTCAAACTTTTTGATTTAACTCGGGTTGATTTTTCTCTTGACTGTCCTAGTACCCTCTTTCCTTGGTTGCCTGCATATCGTTCAGGCTCTTTTGTTTGTTTCTCTAGTAACCTCCAGGACACTTTAATTTGTTAGTCAAAAAAATTCTGAATTCAATTTGCCATAAGGAGAAACAGATCAGGACATATATTGGAAGACAAAGCAGAAGTAACTATGCTTAAGAACTTTGCAGATATATGGAAGAAAAGCGTGGCTTTGTAGATGTGATTCTCATTATTTCTTTATTGAAGTTGCAGAAAATAAAAAATGCCACTGCAGATAATCAAAGCAGTTTTGAAAATCTAGGACTTTGTGAGTCAGTTTTAAAAAACTTTATTAGTGTCTTCAAGTTTTACTATAGTAATATAATTAGCTTTTTTTACTGAAGTTATGTAGAAATATACAGAGTTAACTGAAAGCTTTGGATTCAGAGGGATTGCTCTGAATTGCATATCTGACCTGAAGCAGCAGGTATGATTCAGTAACCTGTTGATAATTGTTGTAGATCTACGTGATAACTGTTCTGTTTGCTTGTCAATAGGACGAATGTTTACCAGAAGTCACCGAAGGCTCAGCTTGCCTTGTAAAGGCCAAGGAAGAACTGTTGGATGAATGTGAGAGTATTTGGAAACAGATGGAAGAGGTATGCAGATCACAAGTGACAGACTAGATTTGTTATAAACTTTCCTCAGCAATTTTTATCTCCCCATCCTTCACTGCATGCTTTACCTCATCCCCCTCCAAAGAAACTGCCACAGCAAAACAAGAATAAAAAAAAAAAGGGGGCGGAGGGAGGGGCGTGGGGGCAAAAGCGAAGAAAAGTTCTTCAGAAAGGCCAAAGGCAGAAGTGCTAGCAGGGGTTGAAGAATGCCTTGCAGTGTTGAACTTTGTTTACAGTGCACTGATGTTACGATTTGATTAAATAGAATGGGAGTTTATGTTAAAACAGGGGAAAAATTGAACAATTTACTTGTGTTCTGGTAGTACCGGCACACTGAGGCTTGAGATCCTTCTTTCTTTAGCCTTATGCAAGATGGGATTCAACTGCTGTTCATAAGTACTTTGGATCTTAAAGGAGAGAGAGAATGGGATGAGAAAGAGGCTTAGAAGGATGACAATATTAGCATGTGCTTATGCAAACTGACAGTTAAATCCTCAAGAATAAAGTTTATCTCTCTCAATGTATGGTCCAATATGCTAATAATAACATTTTAGGGCAAGTTATTTTTATTTACAGGAATCCCAGGAAAAATAAACTTCTAACAGTTCTGGGGGAATGCTATGCATCGTGTAAGATTCTGCTAAGTCTAATGAAAACGCATGTTCTAAATTATATTTTGAGAGTTTCAATTGCTTCACTCAATTTGATGTGGTATTTGTATGCTATCTGCTTGAGTTCCCAGTTGTAGAGTCAAAGTATTAAAAGTATCAGAAACTGAAGCAAAAATACTTCCAAACTTAAAGCAGAATAATGTATAGACAACCCACAGTGCAGTACAGAATTAAATTTAAAAAGACTAATGTGCTTTTATGTGTCGTTACATGTAAACTTAATATTGAACAAGTGGCAGGGAATACTGTGTCTACGTTTCTGAAGTACTGTAGTAAGTTATCGGCAGAAGTTTTGTTTGGTACCACTTCAGGGGATGTGAACTTTCTGTGACACTTTCAGATCAGAAGGGAAGTTAGAATGTTTATTATTTTGAATTTAATTGAAAATCTTTGATATTTTGTATCTTGTTCTCAGCATCCCCGAAACAGTACAGGAAGCGATAATGTGTGTAATTTTTGGAGATTGATAAAAACAGTAGGATTTTTTTATCACTTTGATTGTGGCATCCTGGATGCAGCAAAAAGTTTAAACAACTAACAGTCATTGAATTAGCTCCTAGGTTATGTGGTTTACGATGCAATGTTCCAGTGATTGTGTGTCAGCCTTAGCAGTTTTTAATGGAGAAATCCTATAGTGTGTTTTGGTTCCAAAACAGTAACAACAAGGTTTCCAAAGTACTGCTCTTAGTAGTGTTACTGCTTAGCAGAATATATCCTGCCCTGTCATGGGACAGGTTAAATTGCTGACAGTTATAAACCAGAAAGAGTTTAGCAGGTGTCTCCTGCTGACGCCTTGGATATCTGTGGTGGCCTGAATTTCAGACTTGATATACATCCCATTGCAGTCATGGGAGCTGATGTAGTACGTGTCTGAAAATCAGACCATTTCTGAAGTGTACAGTATATTGCTCTAAATGAGTTTAAACTAAAAATACATATTACAATGCGATTGCTCATTTTGGAGAGCCAGAATAGTAGCAGCAAGTGTGTTAATTTCTCAGCAGCTTCCCTATTCAGCCTTGTCCATGACTTTCTCTTCCCAGTTTCTCATGTTCGTCTGTTCAGTGTCTTTCCCTGTATCAACTTTTCCCTCAAATTATACATCTTTCCTTAGCTGCTACTTTTCGATTAGTTGAAGTTCTACTATTTTTACTGTGGTATGATTTCACAATATTTCTTAATTTACTGTTCTGGGTTAGGCTCTAAGGGGTGTCATAACGCTTTTATTCATATATTAACTTTTGTTGGAATTTCTAATCATTGTTTCTTACAAAAGGGAAGAGGAAGTAAACATTATTTGTGTTTTGTTTGTTTTCTAACAAGTGTCAGAGCAAGACAATGCTTCTAGGAACAGAAACACTGCTAAAATCAGATGTCAAGGTAAGATGGTATTTTTTGTTTATTCTTCACAAATTATTTAGCTTTCTGTAAAGATATGGTGCATTTCCAAAAGGAAACTAAAATATCTTCACTTACTCTCTAAAGCTGACAGCTTTACTCTTACCAGCTTTGAAGCTGTATTCTGAAGTATGTGTCTAGCAAATACTGAAAAATGCATTTATGTACAGCAAAAAGGTTACATGCACTCCTGCCACACAACTGATGACTTAAGATAGGCAGCAAAATGGAGGAGTGTGTAACTTCTGATCTAAGTATTTCCTGTATGTGTTTGTTGAAAAGACAGTTCTTGGTTTAATGTTGCTGAATTGTAGTGTTAATTTCTTGGAAAGGCTTTTTTGTCCAGTTACTGAAATATCCAGAACATTTTGTACATCCTTTTTTATCAAGTTTGAAGGAACAAAGAATGAGCTGATGGTGCTGTCAAGAGTAGTGCTGCTTATGAAAGAGATGACAGCACCTGATCTAGAAAATAAGAAATGTTTGTATGGTGACTATTTATTTTGTTTTGGGTTTGTTTTCTTTTCCTTTATCTTAAAAGATTGTCTTCTGAAGGTCATAGAATCATTTAGGTTGGAAAAGACCTTTAAGTTCAAGTCCAACTGTTAACCTAACACTGCCAAGCCCACCACTAAACCATGTCACTGTGCACCTCATCTATGTGTCTTTTAAATACTTCCAGGGATGGTGACTCAGCCACTTCCCTGGGCAGCTTGTTCCAATGCTTGATAATCCTTTCAGTGAAGAAATTATTCCTAATTGTCTTAAGTTTAGCCTGTACCAGGGCTAACCTGTAACAGTTGCTCTATCACCCAATGAACCCTCACCAACCAGGGAGGGGAATTGGGGGTGGAGGTTGGGGGGAGAGGGGGAAGAGGAGAGAAGACCCATAGGTGAAAGTACAACAGGTTTAATGAAAACACCACAGTAGAAACAGAAAATACTTAGTCAAATGAATATGCAGCTGTCAGGATGCACTGTAGAGTGGTCCTCAGCAGAAGCAGAGGAGGAGCAGGAATCCAGCAGGGCTAACCTCACAGGAGCTCCCTCTCCTCAGTAAACCACCTCCCTTTATAATGAGCATGACATTACAGTGTGGGCTGCAGCTGTGGCCAGCTCGGGTCAGCTGCCCTGGCTGGCTTGAGCCTGCCTAGCATGGCTGGGCTGTGATTATCCCAGTTAAGTCAGGGCAGAATTCCACCCCTTAGCCCATACCATTTAAGTCATGCCCACATCACTCATATTCTTTCCATTTTTCAACACATATATACACACACAGTTACTAGTCTTCTGTTCATAGATTATTTGTCCAAAAGTTTTATTGAATGTGTCCAGCCCAGTGAATTCCATCTATCGTAGCAGTCTCTCAGGGCAGGAAAAGATAGTACAAACTTCATCATGGTTCATACCCAGTGGATGCCAGTCCATCTCACAGAAGTTGTTGGATGTCACTCAATGAGGCCAGCTCCAGTTGTCATGGTGCCGTCTCACCAGTGCCCAGTGGGGGGCACGATCACCTCCCTGCTCCTGCAGACCACACTATTGCTGATACAGGCCAGGATGCTGTTGGGCTTCGTGGCCACCTGGCCACACTGCTGGCACAAGTTCAGCTGGCTCATGTCAACCACCACCCCCAAGTCCTTTCCCGCCAGGCAGCTTTCCAGCCACTCCTCGCCAAGCATGTAGCGCTGCATGGGGTTGTTGTGACCCAAGTGCAGGACCCGGCACTTGGCCTTGTTAA